ACTATTTTTATTTATATTATTAACTAATACTCTAAGCAAGCACGTGCAGAAAAGTTATCATTTAATGAATAAGTATGAACCTTACTTCACTTTGTGAATGTAATTTACATTAATACCAAATTTAGTAATATCATTTATTTCTTCGTTTATTGTTACTTGTATGAATGTAAATATGTAAACTATATAAGATAACATTAAAAAATATCTACAAATAGGATATGTAGGAGGACGCATATTGAAGGATTACAGTAATAGTTATTATGCGAATTCATTGCAAGAACATGTAACTAAGTTGGTGGAAATGTTTAATATAAATACATATCCAGAGCAAAATATTGGCGTTAAGGAAAGGATACTGTTCACAAAATATGGACATTTTAAAAATTTGCCCAAGTTTTATGGAGCAGAAGTTCATAATTTTCTTCATATGGTAATAAAGTTACTGTTTCGCTATTTCGCTTATTTTACCAGCTATGCTTTTTTAATTCCTTGCTGAACAATGTCCACTAATCACACCATAAACATTTCAAACTGAAATTAATAAATATCAATCTTAATTATTTGCTTTAAGTCGAAATGTGATATCACTTCTCTATCATAAATATTCAAATGTGAACGTAAAATTATTTTCATTTAAAGTAAAGATCAGAAAAGCTATTTAAATACATAGTAATATGTATTTTAATTTTATTTCTTAAACATATAAACTTGTCTACCTACAATTTTTTCTGTTATATAATATATGGATATTTAATTATATACCATTTCATTAAATAAAGTAATGCGATCGGCAATCAAAAAGGCCAACGTTTCGTAACCGTTTCCACTCGTCCGTATTTTTCACTATAAATGACGATTATTTTTTGCTGAAGTATTGATCACATTATTTGAAACTAACTTGGAGAGAAATCTTACGTAAATTAAGAGACTAATACAAAATTAAAAATTGAATTTTAAAGTCTCTATTTTTTCTGTATCAAATCAAATGTGCGATTGTGAGTCGCCTCTCGAGTGCAAAGGGTTAAATGCGCACATAATATTATATGGCTTCATTTTTATTTACAATTAGTACAGAACTTGTGACTTGTATAGAACTATACGATTATCTCTGATTTCTTTATATAGGTCGAGAAAAGTGCTTTAGATCCGAGATTTAGTAATTACGCTATGCACGAAGACTCAGAACTGCTTGCAAAAACAAGCGTTGAGCAGCTGTTACGTCGAGTCGTTTATTTCCCTTACTCACGTTCATTGTGTCGCGCATTTGTTTGCAGTTCATGCGGTAAATATTTAGCTCTCAAGAGTTTTTACAAGTTAAATGAACAAATACAATTCTTCATTTCTTATATTCCGTGTATATATACACGAAGCTGACAAACTATTGTGTTTATTTAACAAACGTCCACTATTTTTAGAGTCGCAAAGGAATATTTTGTATTAATATGCATTGTATAATATATATTTGATAATATAAATGAGATCGGGCCATCTCATCCGCAATTACCCTTATAGAAATTGATTTCTTATAGCTACGAGAGGCCTGAAAAATATTTCATCTCTTTGGCTACTTGTCATGCTAAATGGATCATCAGGATTTTTTAATCGTTTGAGGTTTACAATAGGCGACGAAAACCGGTATTTCATACAAGTACGTTTACGTAGTTAGAAATTTCTATGTACTGTAATTCCAATCGGAAGGTTCAGTAATTCCTATTAAGATCTAAATAACCGTTCAATATCACAATTATATAATATGTTTCATGAATAGTTCATGTACAAAGCGTTTAGAATATATCAAAAAGTAATTGATATAATTACCACAGTGTTGAAATAATTCGTTAATATGAAGGATTTTATATATCTTATTTCAAACATTATTGTTTGTAGGGTGGAATGACCAACATTGTACAGGAATTACTGAAAAAGGTTATACATCATGGTGGAAAAATAAGATACCTAGATCCTGTTAACAAAATCAGGTTTAACGACGATCGTGCATATGTACAAACGGAAAGAAAGTGTTTCAAGTAACCTGATATTATAATATTTGTCTATGTTTAATTTGATAATGTTCTCAAAGGGTCGTATGCATAAAAAAAGTAAATGCTTATAAATATTAAGTGTAAGTAAAAGCAAATGTTATATTTCTTATGCATACTAGTACTAGACAGTAAATGCTGGAAAATCCTAAATAAATATTATATGAATTTACGTAATAATTTTAACATTTGCTTTGTTGTTGTAGATACTTCTATAGTTTTAAAAAAACACGTAGAAGTATCGAAGCAAATGATTGATTCAACGATTGGGATCTGACTTACTTGCAATTAAGGAAAATTCAGTAAATATTGTTTCTAGTAAATACTTCAGTCTTTATGCATATAGATCCGAGTGATTACTTATAAAATGTTTAATAAAGATTAATACTTCTTTGCGTGCATACGATTCAAGTGGAAACAAAATTGATTAAATATTGTAACAGCATAATTCTCTCTTCTGTAATACGAAATAAGAATCTAAAGTTAATTAACATAATTGCCTTTTGCAGATGTGAATTTGTAGTTTTGGCAGTCCCACCACCAATGAAAGACATCGTTATCGAATCATCATCAGAATGTTTCTTAAACAGGCAAAACCTGTACGTTTCAGGCGAAAATCTATTTTTCAAAATAATTTACGAAACCCCACCGTGGCTGAACAATGGCGCGAAAGATATTGTAACTACATGGGATATTAACAGCAATCTAAACACCGCTTATAACGCAACTTTCGGTGATTCGAGAACATTCGCACTTTCTGGATTTCTCGATCAGCCTGATTCAGTACAGACTCACAAGAAAGGATTATTTGATACATTGAACGAATGTTTCAACACCACCGAAGCTCAAACATACGTACAATATAAATTATGGAATCCAGTTTTGTTAAGCGATCAAACATTGATTAGCAGTCCTTGGAGCGTTATGAAGCCGACATCTATTATCAATCACGTCAACTATGCAGGTGTTCCGAAGGGAAGGTACAAATATACAATTACAACGTTAATTTATAAAAGTAAATATTGCAAATTAGATTAAGAAACAAATGAATTAAAACAATATTACAAAAGTAAGGAAAGAATTCTGGAGAACATAAATATTCTTCTGTCAATCCTTGCCTTATGCTTTTTTCCTGATGATAACAAGTATTTTATCCATAATAATTTCTTAGCAAAAGCAGAAGTTATGTACTTATTACTGAAATAAATTTTCTATAAAAGTTAAACATTCGCAAGCGAAGAATAATATTTTCCTTCAATTTATGTAATTTGAATGATATTCGATTTTCCACGATATTGTAAAAAAATATTATAAAGCAAGAGGTTAATGCATACAAGATTCTTTTAGAGTTTTTCTGGCTTCAAGCGAAAATGCTGTTAATTGGCCAGGGACAGTAGATGGTGCCATTGAAATTGGTGAAATCACTGCTTACTCAATTTTGTCAAGAATTAGACCACAGGTGCTCACCTCTCACGAAATAAATATTATGTACGTATGTATTTTAACTTATAGTACTTTAATATATTATTTACAAATCATTCGTAACAATTTTTATCATGTTCAATGTCAATTTCATGTCAATTTCAAAAGACACGAGAAAACTTTCAATATTATGCACAGACTGCTGATATTTATGTCTATTAACAATTATAGTTATTTATTGAAAAACTGAGGTATAATAATATTTTCTTTCCCACATTAAAACCAGTGAAACTGTACAAAATTTTCTATTTTCTTCTTCTTTGAAAACCTTCATAAGTTATAAACACATAAAATGTGTACAATACGTAAATTATAGCGAGCACAGTTACATAGTTTAATATATCATTTATTAACCGTCGCGAAGTTTAAGGAAATGAAATTTGATTGAAAATATCTTATCAAATACTAAATTACTTTCATTCATATAAATATTCTATATTCCGTCTAATAAGAAATTTTAAATATTTCATTTTTACGTCTATATTTTTCAATAATTAGACTGCCAAGATAAACTTTAAATTAATGGATATGCAATAACTGTTCTCAGCTATTCTAACAATAGTACCCACTTATTATTGACAATGACGTAGAATGATATTTTTTCTTTTTCATTGATTTTCATTAAGAAAGGTATAGTCTCATACTGTTTAATGTATGTGTATATTTTAATTGATTCTAATATAAATGCATCATATCAGGCAAAAATCAAGAACGAAAAAACAACAAACTTCTTTCAAGATCGTTGCTATTCAGTACTTAGGAGTAGTGTTTAATATTTCCATTTTCATTTCACTTATGAGAATCGCTTACAAGCACAAATAATTTATTATTACCGATGTACATAAATCTATAAAATACATGAAATAAAAATGACCGTCGGTAATACAATTATCAGTAATTCATTGCGTGTTAATATTAATTTCACATAAAAATACTATTAATATAGTGCTTACACATTTACACGTGTAAAAAACTGGCAAAAACGAGTCACATCGATCATATCTTCTAAAACCTTCTAAATCTTCTAAAACTATCCTATATATTTTAAAACACCTTGTATCTATATTAAACACTCTGATAATAATACTTTTGTCATTAATAATGTAATAAATCTGTACAAACACAATTTATTTACATACATTGTAACTGTAATGAGTCATAAATATAATTAACAGAATTTCGGTCATGTTATTAATTAAAATCTTCGTAATTTGTCATTTTCACGACACTGTCGTATAGACTACTTTCAAATATAACTGATGAATCTTTAAAAATGTAAATACATACTTAATAGAAATGGAATATATATTGAACTGCATCAATTATTAGTTTTAAATGAAAAGTACAATAATTTATATTCTGTTTTCATCTCGTGTTTGAAACTTCAACTGAAATTAATTCAAAAACACGATTTGAATAAATGTGAATATTAAAGACTAAATGGGTCGTACATGTAAACACGTGAACGTTGTCTACATCCTATAAGAACAGGGGTCACTAATATGATATTTAACGTTCTATGGGATGTTGTTTAGTTTCTCGTGTCTCCTGTTCCAGTTTACGTGTCAATAGATCCGTTTCAGTATTTAAACATTCATAAGATTTAATTAACTGTAGTGCAACTGTGTCGTCAGCATTTATTTACATTAAAATATTCCTATTCCTCCCTCCTCTCGTTGGTAAGTAATGACTTAATTTAAACCAGTTTTACCTTATGATAATACAAATCATAGAAATTGTAATGATATCGTTTGCTGTACATTACTTGCAGATCTTTTTTCTTGCAAAATTATCCAAACAATTATTTCAATCATTATAGCGATAAGATATCTCCTATTTAAGTCTGCACTTATATATACATATTATTGTACATACAAGTACGTATTATCGTAGCAATATTGCAAAATATAATAATAACCATATGTTTATAAAAATGTGAATTAACTGTATATGGAGGTAGAATTGTATCCAGATTTATTTTTACATTACGTGAGCTAGTTTTATTATTATTTTATAAATGGCATCATCAGGTCTAATGACATTGAAAATTCAAATTTTTTATTTACGAATTAAATGGAAACATCGCCAATTTTAATTGTATTTGCGAGAAATAAATTTTAATTCTATATGTATGTAACTCTGTTTCTTTTAACAAAAATATTCAATGGTATGTTTGAAAATTTAAGTAACAGTTCATTCTGTATTTGTTCTCTATATTCATCCTGTACTTAGTTAATCAACAATAGTGTATTTAATTCATAAAATATGATGAATCATTAGGGATAAACAATACTGCAATGTCTCAAAACGATGGCAGCGACGAAGAAAATGGTCTGCTCACACCGATATTCCTCAGAAAAGGGTCCCGGTGCAGTCGGGACACACTTGGTGCGTAAAATATTTATGGTCATTATATTTATATATTAACTGCGTAATAGTCATTTATCTCTTTCTCATTTATGTATCTGAAAAGATCTACATGCGTCTTTCAAGTCGATAAAATATCCTGTATGGATACAGAAACATCTATTTAGAAAATATAGTTTCAAGGAAACGAAACAAGTTATGGTAATCAAGTTGTAACTTTGCATAACGATAACGTACACACGATTTAAATTACGAATAGCTTTTCAGAATAAAATAAATATTAACTGAAACCGGTGTTTACTGATCCAAATATATTATAAATATGTTCCTTTTATGCAAATTCATGTTACCGATGGCTTGTAAGAAATGACGAAACATGTTTAATCTGACTCAAATACAGAAATCAAGCAACATCGAGCTTCTATCGAATAAAAGGCAAAGGATAAAAATTGTTCCAATTCAATCGAAAATACACTTGTTGTTACATTTTTGCGTCAAAGATATTAGTATAATTGTATACAATTCACGAGCTAATTACAGCGAAGTTTTTGTATATAATAAATTTATAAATTAACATTCTAAACGAGAAAACAATATAGTTAAAGCAATTCTAATGAAATGAAAATTCAAATGAAATATTCGGCTTTTAAATCTCAGTTACGGCTGGTCAAATTAACCCTTTGCACTCGAGAATATTTTTCTCAAGAAATATTCATTATTTTCTGATGAAATGTCAATGATATTTTGTGCGAAGGCTTAAAATCATTAGCTTACCGCAATTTCATTATTTTTCTTTAATACTTGTACGTTTCACTACAGGCACTCCGTCTTCCATATGCAGCTCAGTAGTACTTGGTCACATTCCAGAAGAAGTACTTCGTGTGTGGAGTCAACTGCCACAGGCAATACGTTTAGATCCTAGTTTGGCAGTTTTTCAAAGGGAATACAACCGATACCACCAAATTGGAGAAGGAAAGTTGGTATTTTCAGAAATTAGATTAGCATAGAAAAATCACCGTGAGATTTCACGAAATTTTAGAGGACTCCACTCTTTAAATAATCTTAACAGAATTATATGGTTCTAACCATTTTTAATTAATGCACTTGAAGTTCTATTGGCAATTACAATTTAAATCCTGGAAATTTATCAATATTTTATTTACAAGAAAGAGTAATACAAAGTTATTCTAAACTTATTAAAGTTCGAAGGATAATGTTGGAAAGAAAGTAAATATGTACATCTTATTTTCATTTTTAACTCTTTACGGTCTAAATTAATTATTCCTATTCCCAATAGCCCGGTCTGAATTAATTTTTCACTTTTATCAATTCATTACATACCCAAGAACTATGTCCCAGTTTTAGTAAAGATATAAGCAGGATGAAGTATAAAATAAGCTGAAAAACAATTAAAGACCTTTATTGGTTGCTTTTAATGTAAATTAATTATTTGGTATGCAGAAGTAATTAATATAACTGTAATTCTTAAATTTAAAAGCTATGTCGGGCCACACTCGACGTTGGATCGCAAAAGGTTAATGTTTGTAATATGTATTATATGTTCATAGCCAATTCATTGATTTTTATTGCGACAGCATTATCTCCTCCTCTTTTTATTAATTCCTTCCAATAAAATGCGTACATTCCCAGATATTTAACATTAAACATACCAACAATTTATATACACCTATTCCTACCATAACTGGTCAAATAACTGATTATAAAATAAAAATAAACAAATTAAACGATAAATTTTTCTTAGTGAAAACACGAACAAAAGGAAGACAGAAATTGCAAAACTGATTAACCTGACAATATAAGAACTAACATTAAGTGAAATACGAATGAAAAAACAGAAATTTTAATTAAATTTCAAAACCTATCATTTAACCGGCCGTGGTACATTTAGTTAATATGTTACTTTTACATTATTAAATGAATAAATAACTACTTAAACTGTTTTTCTTTATAGCTCACCCGATGTTCCGAATAAAGACTGTCTTGTGGTCAATATGTCCGTTGAAACTCAGCCTGTCGTTCCTAAACAGTAAGTTAGTCTCTTATTGTTGACGTGATAATTGTCTTAGCAAACATAAGAAATGAATACACATTCATCAGTAAGTAAGAAAAACTGTATTGGATGCACCAAATGAGTCGTTGAAAATGATTTTGTTCGAAATCATAGCAGATATCGTCTTCATTCGTTCAAAACTAAATTAAGCACATAGTAAATATATTTGAAGCGACTAAATAATTTATTTTTAATAAATTGACATATTCACTTTTCTTTTGGTCGAAAAATTCTTACTCAACTGAACGCCGTTTATTTGTAATATTATTTTTATTCTGCATAGTTGAAGAATTATAATGAAAATTTCAATTTAAGTCTAATTACTCTT